AAGTGATCTTCCAACGTTTGACCTCTCTGCAGACGCTGGATTTGTCCGAGAACAAGCTGGCAGAGCTCCCGCAGGTGATCTTCCAAGATCTGAGCTCTCTGAAGGAGCTGAACGTGGACGGCAACCTGCTGAGCTGGTCTGTGGTTTGGTGTGTGGAGGCTGCCTTGAGCTGCGAGAGTTGCAGCTGTGGGGCTTGAAGATTTTTGTCCCCAGAGGGGTTCCTGCAACACTTGAGGCAGCTTGCTGAAACCGTTTAATTGCCCAGGAAAAAAGTTGCACGTGTTTTAATCTTCTGCAAGGCTCCGCGACCGCAAAGCTATCCCAATCGCCTCGCGCAGACACAGCACTGAGACAAAAGCCGAGGAAAGCCATATAATCTATTCCCTTGTTCCCTATTATAACCCCTAGATAATGTCTGTGCCCTATTTTAATTTATCCGATTCCATTTTCTTTTCCAGTATTCCTTGCTATCTGTCAACTTCAGCCACGATAAGCCTGCTCTGCTCTGCGCTGCTAAGCCTTCCCAGGCGAAAAGCGCGAAGGTGGGATTCTCCAGGCTTCGTGACTGCGTTTCCGGATCACGGACAGGACTGGTCCAATACCATATGGATAGTTCTCCAAATTAGGGCTGTATTTTGGTTATAGATTATATTACGGCGCCTAATATTTGGAGATACCAAAATGGGACCCTTATTCGGGAACCCGCCATATGCAAAGCAGGCCGAAAGTGTTTGGACGTGTGGAGCAGAGTAAAGTCCTTGATCTCAATCAGCGGATCCCATGCGTCAGAGATAGTTGATATTGCTTGCGCAGCACCTGCAGTGCTACAGGTGCATGATGCAAAGAGCTACGTGTTACATCTTTCTACAAAGTCTGGATGCGGATGGGCGTGTGAATACATGATTCTGTGCAGGAGGATACCGCTGACGCAGAGATGTGTGGGAGCGAAGAGCCCGGGCCCCGTCACTGTGATCGCCCGACGCCAAATCAGTGATGTCATGTGCTATGCCGGGACCGGGGGCAGGCTTGAGGCCAAAGTCTGGCCCTGGCAGATCTAAAATGTCAAACCCTAAACCCTAATCCCTATAAACCTGAAACCCCAAACTCTGAAACTCTGAACCGCCCTGTTGTGTACCTTTGCAACTGCTCTTAGCATGTCGCCTTTGTTAACTTTTCCTTTTATCTTTGTTTTTTTTTGGGGGGTGGGGTGGGGTGACTGGGTTGGCAGTTGGGGGGCACGGGCTCAGGTTTTAAGGGGCGAAAATATCTACTCTTCTTCCGGCAAAGATCCCGACGGAGCTTTTTTGTATCGGAAGGCTCAGCCAGAAACAGTGCCAGGGTGTGTCACTTTCTGATCCTGGCTTCGCGACCAAGGCGGTAAAGCTTGGCACTGCTCCTTCCAGGCACTGACCTCGCCCTCGCCTTGGCTTTGGTAAGTTTGGGCTCAGATCCCGTCGAAGCGGTGAATGGATCTGATCTGAATCTCAGCCCATCTTGATGTTTGGCTTGGATGCATCCTCAGCCCGGCCTCAGGGGCACGGTGGAGCATTCTCGAAATGCGACTTGCTTCAGAGATTCCTGTGCTTGAACTTCTGTGTGGAGTTTTGAGTTCAGTATGCGAGACTGCGTAGAAGTTACGCCCACTGTCAGCAAAGTTGGGCTCGACACTTTCAAGCCATGGGTGCGCAACTGCTACAACATCAGATCCTGCACGACTGCAGTTTGCATCCATTGCCGCTTGTGCTGTGATGGTAGCGGTTTCATGTCCAGAGTCGCGATCCAGGGATCAGGGCCGAGCCCGAGCTGGCAGAGCACTTCCTCCTTTTCGGAGCTTGCGCTGCCTATGCATTTTGGGCATCTACCCCCCATAATATGTTCCCCAACTACACTCCCCATAACGAAACCTCATAATACACGCCCCCTTAATATACATGCTTAGGATGTCTTGGGATATCTTGAGATTGCAAAAATGAAGTGGCTGGCCCTCTCAGGGGGCCTACGAGCTGGGGATAGCGGATCTCCTAATTGCATTCCGGCCCCTGATATCCTAGGTACCCCAGTCAGTACCCTTGTCCCCTTTTTATTTGGGGGGGGGAAGGGTCTCCTCAGCCACGCTGTTTGCTCAAGCTCTGTAGTGGCTTTACGTGGCTCTTCCGAGGTATCGGCCGCGACTTCCGCGAGGATTTTGGAGCGCAGCTGCAGATTCTTGGTGGCAGCTGGCATGAGTGACCCTGAAGAACTATGAGCTGCAGTCTAAAACCCTTGGAGGGATTGAATAGGAGACTACTATAGGGGTTATTGAGCCAACGGCAGTGTGCATAATCTACCATGAACGAAGGTTTAGGGTTTAGGGTTTAGGGTTTAGGGGGGCGTTTCCACAGTAGTTGGCAGTAGTTGTATGTGCAGGCATGTAGCAAGCCCATCGCTCGAGGCTGCAATGCAAAGATGCATCCAGTCCTGAACATCCTATTTTTCATGGCCCCACTCTTCTTCGCAGATTCGAATGCCAAAGCTCGTAGGCTCTTTTTCCTGGACATGGTGCCCAGAACCCCTAAGCCAAAAATGTGTTTTGCTAAGATGCCAATCTGGCCTAGCCTGCCGCCTTGAGGATGGCCTTCCACGTGGTCCAGAGCCGGTGCGAGGCCCTCCGAATGTCATCTGGAAGCTCAGGGTTTAGGGGTTTGGGGCTGCTGCGGTTGTGGGTTTGAGGTTTAGGGTTCGGGTTCGCTACGGTGGTGATGTTTGAAGGCTGCAGGCTGGCTTGGGCGTTGCTTCACCATTTTGAGCTGAGATGGGGTTGAAGAGGTCTGTGCGGGTTTCACGGTTTGTGCAGGCGTAACATAGATGGAGCAAGCTTTGTCTGGCAACCTTTTGTTGGTGGGTTGAGATTGGCGGCTCTTGACGCAATCCACCTTGTAAGCGCAACCTTAGGGATAGTCTAAACTCCTTAAAGGGGGGTTACATAGGGGATTCTATTGGGGAACTCTAGGGGTCCTTAAGAGGGATACTAGGAGTTTCGACTCTTTAGACTACGGTTTCACTTCGTGAGCCCACGCAGCGGACGGAGAATATCTTACATCACCTGGGACACCCCATATTCCATCATTTGGGGGGTATAGGGGGTTTAGGGTTTAGGGTTTAGGGTGGTATAGGGTATATACGAAAAACCCATAAAGAGTTGCAGGATGTGCTCCAACCACAGTAGAATTGAGAGCAGACGCGGAGGACTCACTGGTGCTGCGGATGTGCATGAGTTTAGAGTGCTGGCAATCGGTCTTACATGTGAGGATGTGGGGACGATGTCCGGGCTCGGAAGTCGTTGATTTTGGGGGTTCAGCCCGGGTATCTCTTGCGCTGGCCCCGAAAAGGCTTTCAATGCGCTCACATTCACGCTCTGGCTGGACTCAGGACTCGGTGTAAGATTCTGTCAGAAGTCTCCACGCTCGAAAATGGGATCCAGGAATCTGCACCAGGTCTACTTCAACCAATTCCCGCAGAGTGGCAGTGCTTGCCGCAGTTTGCCAGGACCTTGGTTTGCCACCACTGGTGCACGGACCATCAGAAAAATACTCATTGTAGGCATTGTAGGTAGGTAATTGAAGAGGTGCCGTGAGGGGTTTAGGGTTTAGGGTTTAGGGTTCCGTGACTCACTCGCTTGAATCCTAAACCACCTCATGCTCTCAAACGTGTGCACATCAATCCGCCGATGAGCCATCACACTTGCAAAACTGCCTGATCGTCGCACGCCCTGGAATACCAAAGGACACCTCCAATACTGCTTTCCATTATCCCAGCTTAACCCCAAGATATAATCCAAATATATCCCCAATATATCCTCAAACTTAACCCCAATATATAATGCATCAAAATTAACCCCAAGATATAATGCAAATATATCCCCAATATATCTTCAAAAAAAAACATATTTTTAAAGGTCCCCCTAAACCCTAAACCCTAAACCCCTATATACCCTTTTTCCAAATCAAATGAAACCCTTTCAGTCCAATGGACCGAACGGGACGTGAACTCTTCAGGAAGCAGGGCCTTTGGCAGGAAAGGCTTAAATAATGGGGATTATATTAGGATTTAGGGTTTAGGAATTATATAGGGATCATATACAGGGATTTCACATTGATTTTAAGGACTTCTCCCAACTTGCGATTCTGACACAATGTGATGGCGGCTTCTATTGATCTCAAATTGTAATGGGGCTCCTAAGGCTTGTTGGGATCTTGGACCGCCTTGGTGCGTTCAGCCTGTCTTCAGTCCCTGGAATCCAAATCCACAAAATCTGAATTTTGAGTATGTCCTATACCCTAAAACATGCAATCCCCCA